TCCCTAGTTCCCCCCCCCCACTCCCCTGAGCTCCCCCCGGCTCCCCCAGCTCTCCAGCGTGTTGCTGCCGCGGAGGCTGCAGCGCTCCTGGCTCCGAGCGGGGACTGTTGGTAGGTGTGTGAGTTTTGTCTTTGAAAGAAAGTTGCCAGTGAATTAAGTAAAACTTATGATGTTTTCCTTCTAGCTGCTTCCCAGGGTATTTTAACTAACATCAAGCCTGCGTTGGTACCTCCTGCATAACAGTAATCTCCAGAGCTTGGGAAGCCCCTGGGTATTTACATCTAGAAAGGTGGGAGCGCTGAAGAGCAGCGTGTCACACTCTGATCCTCCAAGCACCTTCCCCGACTCTTTGTAGTCCTTGTTAGAAACAGAAATCTGCCTCCAGCGCGCAGTGAAAGCGTGAGATTTCAAAATCTTGGCACAAAACTGTGTTTCTCCATTTGGTCCTTTAGTTGGTCCTTTGATTTGGAGGACTGTGGAAGCTTCTTACATCTTTTGGGATTATTTGGCTGGAGTGGTCAAAGAATTTCTTGAAATGCTTTTATTTAGTTCTGACGTTCTTCACAACATATAGGGGAGGATTTTCTGTCCAAAGTAAGTTACGCTGTAATTATTAGACAAGTTATTTGGGTATGTACTAAACAGAAGTATTTAACACAAAACTGTGGAAGATGTTCTGTTGACTGTAATAGATGTAACAGTATTATTTTGTTTTGGGGGGGTATGATGGCACAATGTCTACATTATTTTATTCTGTAACTGAAAGCGTTAGGTCAAATCAGTTAGAGTTTGTCTTTTGCATTCTTCTCATAGAGCCTTGCAGCTAGTCAATGTCTGTCTTTGGAGATCAAGCTGGGGGATCTTCTGGTCTTTACCCTGATTCAATTTTTTAGCTCACTGATTTGTTCTTTTTTTTTTTTAATTAGAAATTGAAAATCTTATATAGATTTGGAGTTTATATTTTTAACTTCCATGAACATGTGTATTAATTCTAGTTTACCCTCTTTTCAGCATTTGAAGCCTGGTGGAATATTGCAATGGCAGTTCAGATGACTGATGGTCATCGACGGTTCTTGCAGGTCCTGATGTCTCATGGGATAATGGAAGGATCAGAGGCTAGGAAGTTACACAGGCATTGCTGCGAAATCCATAAAGGTTTGTCTCTCTTTCCGAGAAAAAGTGTTGAGACTAAGATGGGAGAACACTTTTTTCTGATGCAGTTTACAAATCGTTAGATTTTTTTTAAAAGCATACACCATCAAAAAAATGTTAAACATTTTAATGACGTGTGTGTCCTCTCTCCTTTCTTTCCTAAAAGAAAAAAATAAAACAACCTAAAGGAAGAAGTTTTAGTCCATTCAGATCCATACAGCGCAAACTCTCATTTTCTATTTTAGCAGAGACTTTTTTTTTTGGTTACATATTATAATTTTATTCATTCTTGCCAAGGATAGCGTTTAAGTCTCCGGAATGTTTTCCTTCATACTTCTGTGGAAGAATTTCCTTTGGATTATACTATGAAGTATATGCTGTTATACAATGCATCCATCTGGAGTAAATCTGTCACCTGACTAATTACATGTTCAGTTAGATGGTCCTGATATAACAAGCTGAATTTTATGGCACTTAGAACTGAAAATGGATTGTATACTTTCAAATCTGTTTGAAGTTCCTGATTGAACAAAAATACTACAGAAATGTGTAATCAACTCGGTTATGATTTTTTCGGAGAGATATACTTACTATATGTAGGTATATATCTTCACTAATTTTGAAAATGTGGTGGCACAAACTGAAATAAACCTGAAATGAGTAATGCATTTAGCGCTAATTAATCAGTAGGTTTTAGCTGTAAATTACATAGTGTGACAAAATAAAAAATTAAATCTCAATTGCTGCTTCCCAGAAAACAGTGAAAAGAATAAAATTCCCATATTTTCATCTTTTCCATATTTATGAACAAAATTAAAGAGGACAAGGAACGTGTAAAAAGAAATTGCCATTTGAAGGGAAATGTCCAAATGCTGTTCAAAGTAGTAATTTTAACAAATTACTGTTGAAAGCTGGATAACTCCAGAAAATATGTTGCTTAAATTCCACATTGTAAGAAGTGATGTGCACTGGCTGTATGTCTCAAGTTATTCTCTAGTATTTAAGATTTAAAAATCTTAACAGTTATATTTGAGGGTTTTGGTTAGTTCACCCTGTTTATGTGAGTTTGTTGAGAGCTGAACCAATAATTGCAGGGGAACTGAACTATTCCGTTTGTTAGTGAAGCGGTCAGCAGTGATGATAACTTCAGCGTTGCTGTTGCCAACTGTTCTTTTCCCCTGTTAAGAGAGTAGAGACTGTAGTCACTGATACAATCACTTGTGAACTCAAGACTTCAGAGTCCTTTTTGGAAGACCCTACTACCTACATATTTTCCTTAGTTAAAATGCGTCAAGCAGATTCCACAGGTTTATTCAAACTGCTGAGGCAGAAGAACTTATTTCAGCACCTGTGCAAATTCCTGACTGAAAAATGGAAATTCCTGACTAGAAAAATGATATGACAAATTCCTGACCAGAAAAATACTGTTGCTCTTCACTAGTTTACTCCTGTATTTGTGCAAACCAAGTCACAGCTTCTTGTAAAAATAAATGTTTGGTAAATACATTTGGTAAATGGCCTAAACCAACAGCTTGGCTATAACCAGTTTGTTATGTGTTTCCTAAAAAGAGTCTTAAGAGAAAAACTGTACAGCTAGATCCTGTAGTATGTAGGATCAGTGAGCTATAAGAATGCAGGATGCAGTAAGAGCCGATAAAGTAACATTCATAGAAAGGATTATTTATTAGGAAGAGTTTTTTAAAAATAGCTCCCTTGCAACTGCTGCCTACCAAGTACTTCCTATTTCGTCAGTGTGGCGACAGCATAACGGAAAAATTTGTGAAACTATTCAGATACAGTGTGGGAGTTTTTAAGTGTCACAATTTTATTAAATGATCTACCTAGGAAGGCTGTGTGTCATGTTGGGGGACAAAGGGATGTTGAACTTGACTCATTGAATGGAACTTTTTTTTTTTTTAATGCATCTTTACACTTCTTAGGAATAAAAAAAATGAGTTGACAGACCATCCTTATTAGGGCAAAGTCACCATGATCTTGTCAGTTATGATATTGTTAGTAATGTTTTTATGAGGAAACTCAGCCTGTTTGTACTGTTTCTAGAAATTCTGTTTTTGATGTAGTTTCTTCAAATACATCTTAATAACGCTCTGTGCAATCTGAATAACACGTTTCTAGTCGCACCAAAGCTAATGTACCTAAAACAGCATAGCTGAATTAATTCCTTTCCCCTGCAGATTGTAAGTGTTGTATAACAAGGCTGTTATCTATTTGTGATGATGGTTTCCTTGAATATAAAAGAATAAAAAAGCTTTGTCTAATGAAGTCAAGTCATAAAGTAACCCGTCTGTATAGCCTCTGAGCAAAGCGATCTGACCGTTTTCCCTCCTGGTATTTAGCACGTTCTCTTGTCCTGTTTTATTTCAAAATCACAAGACTTTTGGCCAGGAGACACCGTCCTATCGTTTGTGCATCACATGTATGCTTGCTGTTAGCAGTACCTATACTAAAATCTGCACAGATCTCTGAAGGAAAAACTCCAAACATCTATCAAAATGCTGCATAGGACCACTAGAAAATGTGCAATTGAGTTAGGATACAAATTGCAAGATTGTTCAGGAAGGGTGTTATTATATTTACTGGAATCTGTTAAATGCACGTTTTTTTCCGTCTGCAGTGTGTTACGGCTTCTCCAGTTCTGAAACGCGTTACAGTAAAATTTTAAGTGCAAAGCTAGAGACATTTCACAGTATTCCAATGTTACATATAGCTGAGGTACCATGATGTTCTCAGCATCGTTTTTGTGGGTGGCTTTATGTGTTGTCTTTGTGTGTGATTGCTGAGCTGAGCACCTTTTCCTTGCCTTTGCAGTCATCTGTGCTGGATGTTGGATCCTTTCACAGGACGTTCTCTGTGGGAAGGGAATGTGTGAAAAATGAATATGATCCTGTCCCCAGCCTCCAAGAGGAAAATGTAGTAGAAAAAGGAGAGTTTGCAGTTATTTTTCCTGCTGTCTTCCAAGCCAGCTGTAGTTCTTTAATAACTGGAGCTATGGGTTTGCACCTCTAAATAGTACAACTGGAAAAATTGTGCCTCTCCTTTGGAAAACACATTTTTCTCTGTAATAGCACTGCTTTTTCCGCAGCTTATGGAGTAAATACTGAGAGTCATGTGCTTTCCTCTTTATCTGGGGAATCTCTTGACAGATTCTCCAGCTGATCTATTTTTTCTTTGATTCAGCACATTTTCATTTGACAAGTATTTAAACAAATTGAAACACAGGAAATTGCATCTGAGCATAAGAAAACACTTCTTCACTGCGAGGGGGGTTGAACACTGGAATGGGTTGCCTGGAGAGGTTGTGGAGCCTCCATCCACGGAGATACTCAAAACATGTCTGGGCACGGTCCTGGGCAACGTGCTCTAGCTGCCCCTTCCTTATCAGGCGTTTTGGACCCAGATGATCTCCAGAGGTCCCTTCCAACCCCAACTATTCTGTGATTCTGCGAAATATAACAATATTACTTATTTTGGTGGGCCAGCATTTTACTTTCCAAAGGTGTTGGCATTCACAAGCATTTTCTTTGCCACAGTCTTTAAGGCCAGAAGGGTAACAGAATACAAAAGTCTTTTCTTCGGGTATATTTTTGATGAATCTACAGATAATTTGGAGGGACAAATTCAGGTTGCATTTCAAACCACTGGCATTGAACACCAATATTATAACATTCACTATAAAATGTAACTCTTGTACTGAGTCACATTAAAGTTTGCTAGAGCAATGACTCATGTATTGCACTTGTGAAGAGATGTTTAAACAAATGAATTGGAGAAAACTGCTTTTTTTCCTTCCTGTTTGGAGTTAGAGAAGGAGCGTATTTATTTGCTTTTGTCTAACTAGATTCTATATTTTATTTAACTGGCTAGGTAGCTGAACTCTGAAGAAAATATCTGTGAGTGGTAACTTTAGTCTACAGTCACACCCAATTTTTTAAGCATAGTACATTTCATGCTTGACTGTTGTCAGACCCACTAAATAAACTCTGTATGAGAAGGAAGGGATTCATACAACAGACGAGCATTTTTGCTTTACATATGGTGAACTTTTTTTTAGTATTTAGTATTCTAGGAAAAAGCCCCAGTAGCTGCTTCTGTGTGTGACCCATTGTGCTACTCATGCTAATATCTTGTCTGCAAAGTTCAGCTAGAGCTTTGGGGATTTTTTTATTATGTATGATGGGATTTGCAGATAATCATCTGTTTGAAGACTGTGTTTTATGTCATCAGAGAAGGGTTTGCACTGAAAAACAACAGAAAAATGTACTATGCGGTTGTTTTGATATTTTGCTTTACAGTGCATCAAGTATCTCAAAACCTGAAAAAGAAAATGTGGCTCTTGGGTCCTCAGGCTAGGCATTTTAGTGTAGACAATGGTGAATATAAAAAAAAGCACAGAAAATGAGCTGAGGAAGATAAGTGTGAATATCAACGGTTAGATCATACCATTCCTCATCAATAGCTTTTCTATAGCATAGTGAACCCTTCAATTATTTTTACTAGATGTTGTGGGAGAAGTGAATGCTGAGGAAACATTTTGGTGAGGACGAGGTGAGGTGCTGGTGGACGGCTGTACTTTTTTTCCATCTCATCTGCATCATATTACCCATTATTAGTTTTGGAAGCCATGCTCCTGTCAGGCTTATTAGTATACTTGTGGGATTTCTTAGTGACACTCTACCAGGAGTCCTCTCTTTTCACTGTAGGTTTGTATCTACTTATTCACACAATTTGAGGCCAGAAGAAAGTAATAAAACAATCTATTTTTGTCTACTATGTAAACCAGGCCATGTTTTTTACAAAATATTTGTTGCTGCACTTCAGATGACTTGTAGCCCTAAAATGTAGAGAAGCTTATCAGATCTTGGTTGAGGTGTTCTGGTAATAAAGACTGACTTAATATCCCCTGGATCCAAATTCAGTATTCTCTTGCGTTAAAAACACTGACATAAGATTGGATACCTGAGTCTTAGTCTGTACTGAAGCAACATTGTAGCATGGTGTAAGTCATCACTCAGGTAGTGGTTACGCTTTAAAACCAAATCTTTGCTATGAGTGGTTCATAGAGACCTCTTCAGGGGTATCAGCATTGGTATATGGGTGAAAATCCAGCCACCCAGTTTGAGTAACTGGATATTTTCCCTGCCTAAACTCATTTGCAGTTTGATTGTTTTTATTCTAGATTGTTGTGATGCAAAACGCTATTAGAAGCAGCAACTTCTGCTTCCAGTGATTCTGTTGTCATGGGAGGCCTGAAACATATAATGTAGTTGTGCGTGTATAAAGAGGTTTAATGTGAATGGTTCTATATGAGTATAAAATCAGGTAAAGCAGGACATACTGAAAAAATATAACCATGAATGATGTAGTCTAGTTCATAGTTAAAATATCATTCAGCTCTTTGAGGCAAGGATTGCCTGTTTTTATGTATTTGTATAATATCTTCTGCTATTAGCAGGGAATATTCCCAGTTGTTCCCTATATTGTATAAGGAAAAAAATCAGAAGAAAAAAGGTATTGCAGAACATGTCATTTTGAAGTGCAACTAAGAATGTTTTGATCTTAAAAAGACTTCAGACAAGCTCTTAGATTCTCTTACGAATAATGGTCCTCTCTCAGTTTTTCCTAGCTATAAAAAAGTTACCTAGCAGCGTTTTCAGATCGCAATAGGGAGCTTTTTATATAAATCTTCCTGCTTAGTACGTACTAAGGGAATAACTAAAGGAAATTAACAAACTACCTTTTTTTTCCAAAATACTCACTTTTCTGAATGTATTAGTTTTCTCTGAAATCCAAACTGAGCAGCAGTGACTTAAAATCTAAAATAATTTGTCATGTTATTCTTTGTGGTTTCTTCTAGTTTTTGTTTAATGCTGAAATTTGTAAACTGGTGAATTGCATGTCAGAAGTTGTATAGTTATTATCTTTTAAATATGATTTGACCCTGAAAATTAGCCATAATTATCAAAACTTGTTCTCAATGGCTTGTATTACGTCTGTAATCAGTGTCAGTGTCAAAGTAGAAGAAAAACATGCCATTTTTGTAATGCAGCTTTGCAGACTAGAACCGCACTTAATCTTCTGCTTAATCTGTTTACAGAGAACATGGAAACTAAAGTGCATACATGTGATAAATTTATGTTTAGATTTTATATGAGTAAAGGTCCTGTTTCTTTTCTTTAAAAGCATTTACTCAGCTTCTTTGTAGCCTTTTGCCTTAAACGTAGGAGCCCTAATTTTGTAACAGTCCATGTATTTTTTGAAATTTATCATGAAACTGTGGCTTATCTGACTGGCCTTAGTAATAAGATTCTTTATGTTTGCTTGTCTTTAGACAAGATAGTTTAAAACAGCGCCAGTTTAAAAAATAATAATAAACCAACATGCAAAGTGAGAGTTGGTTTGCTCTGCTACCTGCTGTTTATAGTTTGCATAGAGACATGTTCAGAAAAGTTTCTGGTTTCTCTGAGCCAGTATCACAGCCAGGGACCTGTTGAACTTTTCTGTGGAAAATACTTGAATTTAACGAGTTGTCTAAATTAAAAAAAAAAAAAGGAGAATATTTGTCTTCCATTTATTTTCAATTTCCTATTTGATCTGCTATCTGTCTGTCCTTGAACTGAAATAATTTCTTTTAAAGAAAATGCTCCTAAGCAGTGTCCTATACTAATGTATAATGAGCTCTTTTCCTAATGCTTCCACATGTTTTCTTTCTCGAGTGTTCAGGGCTGAGGATTGTTTATTGACAGAGAGGATAAAGAATTAGTAGCTGGTTCCACGATATACTTGGTTTTCAATGCTATGCACAACTTTTGTTTGGAACTGAAAACTGGAATAGCAATTTCCTTTAATTTTATTTGACTGAAAGCAGGTTACAGTAAGTACATCTGTGATACGGTATTAGTTGAGGTTGCACTTTGTGCCCTAGAGAAGGAAATAATTTATTTCTGTTAGAGAAATATCATTTACAGCAGCTGTCAGTAAGGTTTAGATTTTTATTTTTTAAGGTAGTACGTTTTGCTGGAAAGCTATCAGAAATGGAGACTTTTTCAAAAGTTTAACGTTCTGGAAGTAGAGCAGTGCTGACTTTAATATGCATCTAACCCACTCATATCGCAACAGGGCCTTCTTAACTACAGTTGTTTGAAGTAGTATTGACACTCTGGGCTTTCAGATATTTTACCAAAAGAAAAAAGGCAGATTCCTGCATATATGTAGCCAGAGTATGAAGAAGAATGTGGATACTTAGTGGATTAATATCCACATTTTAGTAACATTGCATTAGTTTTTCCTATTTCTCATCAAATCTGTTTACTATATTGCTGGTTTTTAGTAGTAATATATTTGGAGTTTATTCATGTTACAGCTTCCTGTACCAGAAATGTGCCATAGAGGAATCACAGAATGACTGCGGTGGGTAGGGACCTCTGGAGATCATCTAGTCCAATCCCCCTGCTCAAGCAAAGTCACCTACAGCAGGTTGCCCAGGACCCTGTCCAGACAGCTTTTGAAGGAAGGAGACTTCACAGCCTCTCTGGCCAACCTATTCCAGTGCTCTGTCACCCTCACAGTAAAGGAGGTTTCCTCATGTTCAGACAGAACTTCCTGCATTTCAGTTTGTGCCCGTTGCCTCTCATCCTGTTACTGGGCACCTCTGAGGAGAGTCTGGCTCTGTTGTCTTTACACTCTCCCTTTAGATATTTATACACACTGATAAGTTCCCTTCTGAGCATTCTCTTCTCTAGGCTGAAGAGTCCCAGCTCTCTCAGCCTTTCCTCATACGACATATACTCCAGCCCCTTAATCATTTGAGTAGCTGGACGATTTCCAGTAGCTCCATATTTCTCTTGTACTGAGGAGCCCAGAACTGGACATAGTACTCCAGATGTGAAAGGAAGGTAACGTGGAAGGAAGGTTATGAGTCTTTGCTAATGGTGAATGGTATTCATCGTTTCTCCTTCTGAATCTGGAATAGTAAGTGTACAGAGTCTTTGGATGTTACAGTTTTTAAGCACAGCTTTTGGGGCGTTCCATCCCCTAATTCAATTTTTATGGAGAACGTATATCCTTTTTTGATGGGTGGATATACTGAACAGCCTTTCATCTAAAATTAAAATGGTGCGGCTGTTATGCAAAATAATACTCTTTTATTCTGTTTCATGTTGCCCTCTTTCAGAACTGTTATTAGCACTCACTGGTCTTGATGTCTGCAGTCTCATCCCTGCTGACAGGTGCCAGGCAGGCGAAAAGACAATTTTACATAATTATACTTATTTTAATTTTTTCTTGCTATTTGTTGGTTTCATCCATGTATGCAGTCTTGTCACAAACTAGAATCATGACCTTTCTGGGCAGAATTATCCAGTCTCTCATGTTTTTGTGTTGTACTTTACTGTCAAGTACAGAGGGTTTTGGAGCCTTCAGCTGGGTTTTCACCCTCTTGTTCTGGATGGAATCTGTGAGGGCTCATGCTGCTCCTGTGCAAGCGTAAGCCACAGCTACAGCACCTGCTTCTGCAGAACAACTCCAAAGCGCATCTTAATTATGTCTATGAGAAAACTTCTGCAAACGTTTAATTTGCTTGTGGAATGTCACAAAAAATATTACTGGTATTTCCACAAAAACTAGAATTTTAAGTTTTTTGGCATGTAACTTGATTGTTACATGCTATTAATTCATGAAATAGAACACAAGGAAAGAAACAAGGAATCCCTTGTGTATAAACAAAAGAGATTAAGTATTTTGTATTGTGCATAAGAATTGTTTCTGGTGATGTTTTATTTTCAACTGGACTTATTTCAAGGCAGTCACTGTAATTAATGGATTACTGCAGTGGGTTCTGTACAGTGAGACAAAAAGTCTGGACTCTCTTTCTGTACACTCTGACTTTCAAGGTGGTAAACTTTTCTGAAGGTTAGTAGTCAGCAGCACAAAAAATTACATGCCTGCTGCATATAATGGGCCTGTTCAAATTCTGCCTGAATAACTTTGAGCTGCTTTACCCAGGCCAGGAAAAAAGCATTTCAGCAGATAAAACATAAAAAGGTCAGCCTAAGTTCTTTTTTTTTTTCTTTTTCTCTCCCCCTTCCCCCTCCTCCCCCCCAGTCTACTATGCGCATGATAAATTGGATGATTTCATCAATACTATTAACATCCATCTGCAGCCTTTGTTTATGCAGATCCGGAAAGGAATGTCTGAAGATGACGGGAGAGTGCGTTATGCCCTAGTAAGTATGTGATGTGCTGCCATCTTATGGTTTTGGCTTCTCATGATGAGTTCATAAATCGCCATGTGGAGCAGTAATGAGGGGTCACCTGAGTCACTGATGTGAAATTAACCTTTGTGAATGATGTGCCAATAAAAGGTACATATGCCTTCTAATTGTAAACTGGGCAAAAACCCTATCTGTATCTGTTCATAATAAACACAAGGTTGCTCCAAGTGCCAGCTTTGGATGTTAGGAAGTTTGAGTTATCTGTGATCCAATTTATTTCCAAAAAACCCTGCTACTTAGAGAAAAAGCGTAGAATTTACAAGTGAAGGGTGTATCTGCTGGCAGGCTTCTTACTCCTAGCAGTGTCTTGTTTTGTTTCTGCTGGGTTGTTCCCTTCTTAGGCTGACAGCTGCTGTAGAAGCTACTTGTAGAACAGGGAAGTGGGAGGATAAACTGTCAACACCATAGGTGCGTGGGAATGGAATATGGCAGTAAGGACCATAGTAGTGTCTGTTTTATATAGCATAAACATTGCTTAAGATTTAGAGCTGAAGTAAGATTTATTTTTTTCACAGATTTTCTTTCTCAAGAGGAATATTTCAGCTAGAAAACAGGGAGGGCATTAGTTTTCTTTTTTGGCTTAATCAAAAAGCTGTCTAACATAAAAGGTTTCCTAAGGAATAGCTTATGTATTATTTCCCTGGATGCTCTGAAATCTGAATGTCAAAGAGGGAAGGTTATATAGCGATGTAAAAAGACCAAACTGGAGGTCTTCTAGTGTTAGCTGCTGCTTTTAATCTTTCTGGGTAATTTTGCCAATTAATGTGAGCTAATATTAAAGAGCAGCAGCACGTGCAATACAAATGTGAAACATCAATAATTTTGTTCACAATGAAATAAAAATATGCATTATAAAATATTTACCACTACTGTCTAGCACAGTGTCCTGGTGGACTATATTAGTTCTACTGTATGACTTTGTATCTTGTCTCAAAATCTGGCAATTTTTTCTTTTAGTATAATATAAACTTAAGATACGATCTTAAATTCTTCTCCAGTTGTCTACTTCTGTTTGTCCCGGGGTGGGGTGGGGGGTTGCTCAAGAGAGAGCTTGGGCTGGGCAGAGCTTGTTGTGGAGAAACATATGGCTGGAATGATCAGAGTCTGTAAAGAGAGGACTCAAGCACTATCTGTAAGGAACAGCCTCCTTCGTGATACTTAAAGAAATAACATTCCTGTTAATTTTGAGATGATGTATTCTTTTCCCTGGAGTATCTTTTATAATTTATCATGTAGAAATATACAAAGGCATTTTGATCTCAGTATAAGTATTATTTTTATAGGTGAATCTGGCAGAAACTGAAATAACTAAAATGGCATCTGACTATACAGAAAATGAATTAGAACTGTTCAGAAAAACAGTAAGTACATCATTTATTAGTTAGCAAATTGTATATTATTTGTGAAGGTACCCTCTTAAAAATGAATGGAAATTTGACATGTGTTTCAAGAACTAGTTGCCATTTCACATAAATTTATAATTGTTAATTTTATCCCAAATCATGTAGAGAAAAAAATAGGAGTATATAGAAGTAATGATTCCCTTTTGAAAATCAGTTACTGTTAAACTGAAATCAGTAACAGGAGACTGCTTCTTGGAGCGAATGACTTGACATATCTGCTTGTAGTTAAGCAAACATCCTTCAGCAGCTTTCTTCTAGAATTTTCAGCTGGATTTGCTGAATCTTGCTAAGAAAGAGACACGTTTTCACTGGTTTCAGCACTCTATTAATATAGAGTAGATTTTAATGCTAGTAATATAGAAGTTGTATTTGGTGATTTAAATGGAAACATTCTGTGTATTATTGTTGCTGTAGCCAATTCATTCTGCATTTAACTAACTAGTCAGAATGGTGCTTATCAAACAAGAAAACATAATACCTGAGCGATTTTTAAAGTCCCGAAGAGATCTATTAGGTCCAGATACCAAGGCATGCAACATCCAATTTGATACCAACGACCAGTATTTTGAGTTGTGATTGTAGCTATCCATCTTCCCTGTTTTAGTAGGTCATTCTCATAATGCTTTGAACTTTGAGGACTTAATTTCTCCAGCCACTAGACTTTCTTGGCTTTGCACTTTAATCATTACAATAAATTTTTTCTGTATAAACTGCAGAGTGTGTATTGACTGTTCTGAGATAGCTGCTGAAGTCTCTTCTAAACTGATAGTATCCAGAGATTTTTTTTTTCTTATTATTGTTGTAGCCCCTGTACAGTTATGTCAGCCCTGCAGAGACAGCATTGTCATGGCACATACTACTACTACCATATAAACTGCATGCTGCTCTGTGATAATGAGCAGCAGGA